CTGATGGCACTGAAAAGATCAGCTAAGATGAGAGTAGAAGCAGAGATTGTGCTATGCATTTCTCTAAAACCAGATTTGTAGTCAGACAAAAAACAAATTTCCATGGAGAAATGTCTTAAGTAGCTCATTCACTAAGATTTCTAAGATTTTAGCTAAGCATGTCAATTTCGAGATGGGTCTATAGTAATCAAGATCTGAGACAGCACCACTTTTATAAAGTGGAATTACATGTGCTGTTTTCCAGATACTGGGGATTCTGCTTGTTAAAATAGATAGATTAAAAATGCATGTAATGTGTTCTAAAATGATCAGGGTTGCAAAATTCAGAAAAAAAGGTGTCCAAACTATCCTAACCTGTACTTTTTTAATGTTGATGATGGGCTTTAGCTATTATGCAAGGAGAGGAGGGTGAATTGTAAAAAGACCATTTCCTACTGCAGAGGGTGTATCTAGTACATTAAGAGGCACTTCCATATTAGCATTACCATATAATTGATACTTTCTGAAATTATTACATGCTTGGCAGGGCTCACTCTTTCTCTGTTTCCAGCATTGTGGACTGGCATGTGTGCCACCCTGAGGAAGCCTGTGGGGGGTGGGGGAAGCTGAGCACCTCTTAGCAACTATTAGAGAAGGGCACCCCAGCTCCATCAGGCATGTGCTTAGTGATCCTGTACATGGGCCCACCGAAACCACAGGAGGTGAGAGGGGATTCACATATGTGGTCATTCTCCAGTTCTTCCATGGTGAGAATATGTAGCTCAAAGGGATACTTTGGGGCAGAGTGTGGCATGTCAAGTGCCTACCAGTGCACAAATTCCCACTGGCCATGCTCCATGGCTCTGTCTGTCAGGTGTGGAGCAGCTCACCCCCTTGGATCCTGCACCCACCTGAGGCCAGGAGTCTTCAAGTTGTAATTAGTCCATCCTGGTTCCCGCGGTAAGGGCCTTTGTTGTTGTCAGCATGTGCCTGGTTAGAATTCAGTCTGGATTTGATCTGAGTCTGGGTAGAATTCAGACTGGATTTGATCTGAGTCTGGGTAGAATTCGGTCTGGATTTGATCTGAGTCTGGGTAGAATTCAGACTGGATTTGATCTGAGTCTGGGTAGAATTCAGTCTGGATTTGATCTGAGTCTGGTTAGAATTCGGTCTGGATTTGATCTGAGTCTGGGTAGAATTCGGTCTGGATTTGATCTGAGTCTGGGTGGAATTCGGTCTGGATTTGATCTGAGTCTGGGTAGAATTCAGACTGGATTTGATCTGAGTCTGGGTAGAATTCAGTCTGGATTTGATCTGAGTCTGGTTAGAATTCGGTCTGGATTTGATCTGAGTCTGGGTAGAATTCGGTCTGGATTTGATCTGAGTCTGGGTGGAATTCGGTCTGGATTTGATCTGATTCTGGTTAGAATTCAGTCTGGATTTGATCTGATTTTGGATAAAACTCACTCTGGATTTGATCATAGTCTGTTTGAAACTTGGTCTCGATTGATCTGAGTCGGTTAGAATTTGGTCTGGATTTGGTCAGTATTTCATGTGGATTAAGGGCAGAAAAATCCAAGACAAAGACCGGTCTCAAAGTCAACAAGGGGAGCCAAGATCAAAGACCACAAACCATAAAAAGTCAAATGATTTAGAGGGATAAAAGGCTCAGGATTGCAGTGAGACACTAACAATGCTTTACAAAGAGTGGAGTGAAAGAGTTTTAGTAGGAAAGCTGATGAGGATGAGTAGGAGACAGGTGCATGTGATTGAGCACAAGTTCCAAGACCCACAGCTCTGTCAGGCAAGGTGTGGGGAAGCTCACCTCCTTGGATCCCTTACCCACATGAGGCCAGGGGTCTTCAAGTTGTAATAAGTCAAGCCCAGTGACTGAGGTTAGGGCATTTGTTGTTGATAGCATGGAATCTAGCAAGTTCTAACAATTTCTCAATATTCAGGGGGGAGGACCTCTGGTGGACAGGTTGGGAGTTGCACATGATACAACGTGAAATTGAAAAATTGGTATATATCATTCAGTTAACCTCAAAGCACTGCAAAACTTTAAAACTTAAAAAACTTAAAGCCAAAGCAAAAGAGCCTCAAAATGCTCTAGAAACATTTCAATAACTTGTTCCTATGTATTTAAATGTTGCTAATCTATAGCTCATGTGTTAAGTTAATCAATACTGTAGCTACATGTGGTATGTGATGTGTGTCAGTGGTAAGGGTAAACATATCATTAGGGTCTTTATGAAAAGGGTGAAGAAATGTACTGCTGTGTAATGTGTTTAGTGCTGTGTTAGATTTATTATATTCTGTATTGTGTGTCTGTACTGTGATTGTATTTAGAACATTCTGTTCTGCCCATTTTTGTTTACCCCTACAAGGTCATGTCTGTCATACCTGTCACATGTCATGTATAGGCTGGGCCTAATCTTGGCATCGGTCCAACTATAAAGCTGCATTAGTCCATTGTCGTATGGGCTGTCGAGGTGTCTGGTACCAGCGCGCAACCAAATAAACTTCCATTCTCCAGACACGGCTAGTTCTCTGGTTTGGATTGGGGTTCGGATTCTTCAAGGGATTAAATTTTAACTTCCTTTTTGGTGAATTAAATTTACAAACCAACATTTACAAAATGTTTTTAAAAATGGGAGCTCTCTGCAGAACAGAACATCTGTCTCTCTGTCTCTGAGCAAAACTCATAACCCATATATAATTTAAAATATACTCACACAATTATGGTTAATGATTCGCCACACAGAGGGCACTCATATACACTATATTGCCAAAAGTATTCGCTCATCTGCCTTCACACGCGTATGAACTTGAGTGACAGCCCATTCTTAATCCATAGGGTTTAATATGATGTCAGCCCACCCTTTGCAGCTATAACAGCTTCAGCTCTTCTGGAAGGCTTTCCACAAGGTTTAGGAGTGTTTATGGGAATTTTTGACCTTCATCCAGAAGTGCATTTGTAAGGTCAGACACTGATGTTGGATGAGAAAGCCCGGCTCGCAGTCTCCGCTCTAATTCATCTCAAAGTAAATTTTTCCTGTAAATTGTATCGGAAAAGGGTTCAGTATGAACAGCAGATATTAATCTATGCTTTTTCTTTGGGATGAATTAGGATTAATGTCCAAATCTTTCTTTTAAATGCATGTAATTAGTTTCTAAGGCAATAAAGGTAAAAAGTGACATAAACATGATGCTGTGGTTACATGATAAAAAATGACATCACCTTAGAGACTCAAGATAATTTACAGCTCAAACTTAAGCATAACCTAATTCTTATATGACACTATCCTAGTCTTTCACATATTCTCTCATGGACAAGGTGTAGGCTTCATGTATGAAATCTAAAGCAATATGTACACATTTAGTATTGGCTTTAAACCATGGAAACTCATGCAACTCATGCCAGTTAGTTTCTTATGTGGTTGTGTCCTAAACCAAGTTTCGGACATCATTCATCACTCGTTTTTTTTTTTTTTGGAAAATGAACCAGTGATGCTGTGCTTCAAAGTCTATAAACCTTTTCCTCTGCTTATTTCTGTGCATCTCTGTTCTTGGATTTGGGTTACCCCTTGAATTTTTGGGGCATGGAGTCAAAAGGCTGGGTGAGGTTAATCTTTTTGTTTGTTTGTTTGTTTTTATGTTTTCCTGGGCGCTTTCCTATTTTGTTTGATTCATTTTTTAAAACTTTTTGACATTTAACACTTTTGCTGTTGTTTTATATTTGGGGTTCTTGAATTTCTTTTTAGTCATTAGAATATCTGCTTCCTCTTTCTGGTCCTGAAGCACCTTCATTATAGAGGATAATGAGGAAGGAAAATCACAATCATACACTGATTGTGTATCTCAAGGAGGATCAGGAGAGTCAGGACGTTTCCTATCATTGGAAGACTTTGCTCTGAAAGTTGCACCGAAGAGCATAATCTCTGAAGACGTCTGTACGGTGTTGCTAAAATGATGGAGCTCCTCCTTTTCTGAGGCAGTGCTGCTCCTTTCCTGGAGTCAGGTCCATTACAGCAGCCCCCCCATCCCCCTTCGGCCCCCATAAGAGGCAGTAACGGGAACCTTCTTGATGTAATGTGTAATGCAGTATTCATTTGTTTTCTGTACTTATCTATTCCATTTCTGTACAATAAGAGCATCTAGATTTACTTTGTCTAAAATATTTAGTCTAATTTTAAAATATTTCTTCATTTCTGTGAGCTGAGCACAGTTTATCCAAGACAGTAGAGAATATTAGGACATGTGAATGGAGTTCTTTTTAAATCTATAATTGTTTATAGCATTTTGTACTATAAAGTTCAAGTATTATGTTAAAGTATTAAGTAGGTATAATCTGTATTAAGGTATTTAGTATTACATACTATCCACTTGCCTAAAACACACTAAACATCTGTTAATGTTTTAAATAATTTTTTCAGGTTTCTTGCTTTTTTGCTGATATATTGTTGTGTCTACAGTCAACTCTCTGGGCTGCTTACATATCGTGTACACGTACATGAGCCTTGATTACTGAATCATGATTTGAACTGGTGGGAACAGATCTCACCTGGACTGTGTTAGTGGAAGCCACTGAACTTGGAGTCCACTGTTTTGCAAAATTAAGTGAGACTAATTCAAATAAGTGCAGCTTTTACAAACTTCCTTTGTGGAACAACCCCCAGGTCTGTTCTAGGTAGGGATCATGAAATGTTTTGTGTTGAAAGAACAAATGTGACTTTAATTAATATAATCACAGTATATAAACTTCAACACACTTGAGTGAACCAATTGATAATGTCTGTATGTGTTGAAATCCCCATAGTCTGTTGACTGAGATGGGCTGTCAAACATTTCTGCAAACTGTGCTGACCTTCAAGGCTTCAAGATTCCTCTTTCTGGTGAAACTTTATTGTGAGACTGCCAAGATGATGTGATGCATCTCAGAACTCCTCCCAGTGCTCTCCAGCCCAGTTCAGCTATATATACAAAGAGAACTCTGCTCACTTTTCACAGACTCACCAGCTCATCTCCTTCTGAACAGCCTTCCAGGACACAAACCTCTCCAGACACCATGGACAAGATCATTGTTTATGATAAGCCGAATTTCGAGGGCCTCAGCAGAGAGTTCACCTCCAATGTTGCCAACTTAAATGATGAGAACTTTGATGACTGCATCTGCTCCCTGAAGGTGATCGGGAATCCTTGGGTGTTACACTGTGATCCCAATTTCAGTGGTTACCAGTACATCTTTGAAGAAGGAGAATATCCCACAGTGGACTGGGACAGCTTCTTCTGTGGAGCTGCTTCTCGACCTTCTTCTCTAGAGGTGGTGACCGAGGACCTGGAAGATCCACAGATCACACTGTATGACGAGCCAAACTACAAAGGGAAGAGTGTCGTCCTCACCTGTGAGACCAACTTGTGTCACGGCTCTTTCAACGATTCTGCATCTTCTCACAAAGTCCAGAGAGGAGCGTGGGTTCTCTACCAGCATCAGAACAGAAGTGGAGCTCAGATGTTGGCCAGAGCTTCTCATGACATGCCCAACTACGGATGGTTTAGCAACCGACTGAGCCACCTGCGTCCTCTTAAGTCAGGGAAAGTGACCATGACAGCTAAGGTGCTCTGGGACCAGAAGAAAGAACAAGTCAAATCTGCCATCATCGACTCCATATGTAGTCTGAACAGCGGATCACATGAACAGACCCTCATCACAGAGCTTGATCGAGAGTACGAGGGCTCCATCACTGAAAGTTTCAGCTTCGGCAATACTACTCAGATCGGCTTAGGAGCAAAATTCTGCCTAGATGTGGCACCAGTACTGCTCTCTCTTAGCAACACCTTCATAGTGGAGAAGGGCGGCAGCAACACCAGAACCGAGAAGAAGATTGTCAAAGTCTCGATGCCAACCACCATCCCTTCACACACAAAGGTCACCGTGAATGTGGTCAGGAAGGAGGTGGAGGTGAAGGTCCCAGTGGAGCTGACCATCACCTCAGGTTTCCATGAGAAAACTGAGAAAGGGCACTACATTTTTTCCAATGGGAGCTCCATCATCACTGAGATCAAGGAAGAATGTCTCAAGGAGTAGATTTACAAAATGGTTTATCAGTTGAATATTTCGATGAGCCTCCTATGCCTACAAGCTCTGTCATTTACATTTAATCAGAAAATGATTCAATACAATATGATGCTTTCTGAGATGCTCTTTGTTTAAAATCTTCTAAAACTAGTAAAGTAGTTAAAAACTAGGTAAACAAGGCATCTCTTACTCATTCAGTTTATTTGGTTTATGCTAATTTTGTTTTCTTTAATTAATTTCTCATTTTATTACTTTGGTAACAGCATGTGTGTGGTGTTATGAACTGTACTGAATGTTATGTAACCAAATTCATTATGTAACCAATAATTTCACATGATATATTATATTCATATAGTCAGTCACAACACGACATACTGCATAAGCTATGCATGTTACTCATACATTTAGGTTGGGCTGTCACTGTTCTCTTGGTGCATGCAAGGTAACAAATCAGCTACTCCTCCCACTCTGTGTCCAGGTCTCATCTCTTGTTTTCCTCCACTGAAGGAAGCAAGCTAGCTAAAAGAACCTACAGTTACTCATTGTTTAAGTGTCCTTGATGTTACAGGCCAGCTTATCTTGAAGAGGACTGATGTGAGAAGACTCTGCAGACCATATTTGAGTTTCCTTCCTTGTCATCAATTATGCATACATGTTAACATTATATTCTTTATTCATATCACAATTACATATAACCAATGTAACTTCTTTGTTCTCTGTAACCAATGAAATGTACCAATACCATTTGGGCACTATATACACCTATGTAAATTTGGTCTGATTTTGGAGATCTCTGGGTATCTGCCAGGAGCTTCTCCCCTGCCATGATTTTTCAATAAATATATTACTTTGGAGCATTAATTGCGACTCTGTGACTTTACTGTTTACTGTTTTATGTAGAAATTTCTATCACAAAGTGATGACAGTTCTTATATATGTAGAACCTTACAGGCCATGAAATTGATTTAGTTTGATTGTTTATTATGCAGACCTGTCCAAGGTGTTTCCTGAAAATGTGTCATAATCATTGTCCCCTAATAATAAATATTAACCTGGTCAAGGTTCAAGCCCTAACATGAAGTGAGAGTGGGCTGTCTCCCTAAACCTGTTGTCAGACTGAACATCAGACACCATTTATAAAGAAACCAGCTCAGGTTTGTTTATACTTTCTTAAAGTCTTAATGGGAAGATGTTCAGCTTTGGGTTAATGTATCTTTGAGGATGAGTACATGCTCAAAATAATAAACAGAAACAACTAATGATGAGAAAACTAACCTGAGAAGGAAAGAAACAAAAATACACCAAACTGCCCAAATTCCCTGTTTAAAACCAGGAGAAAAGGTGAATATAAACACAACACAAGCATGAAAACCCTTGACTAAACTACCCACAGTGTTCACGAAAACAGAACGTACAAATTATTTACAACCAGGAACAAATCCAAATGGGGTGATACAAAACTGTGATCAAAAACAGGTGATCGGTCAGGCACACTAATAACAGTAATTTCTGAAGAAAGTGAAAAATGAGGACCAGCCAGTCAGCAACAGAGGTGGGTTCAACCAATCAGGAACAGCAGACAGGATGATATGATGATGGGCTTCATCTGGAAAAGACAGAAACACAGAGCAGATCAGGCAAATCATTATAATGTATAAAGATACTGTCATGTGTAAACATGCCTTGTGACTATGATCAGTGGTGAATAATAGTGTCTGATGTTCGGAGGTGAAGAACAGTCAGAAGAGTTGGTGTCCATGATGCCATGAGCCTTTGGAGGAAAACCTTCACCATAGAGATTAGAGGACCTTCTGCAGGACCTTCACTCTGTTTACACCAAAACCGTCTCTAGTGTGACCTGAAAAGAGGTCTGCTTTCATTACATCTGTCCACTGAACCCTGCTGAAATCTCAAGTTCCAGTGATGTTTAGCCGCTGTTATATTTGTTGTGATGATCCAGGTAGTTTGCTGGCATTAAAATGGTTTGAACTGTAGTTTTGAATATTAAGTAAAAGCCTACTAGTCGAGGAAAAGGTGGGGAAACTGGACTGTGGGCACACAATTAGCGCAGGTCAGCATTCACTGCATTCTCCTTCTATGGGTGTTTTGATGAGTTCTAAATCATGTACGCCTGCTGCCACCTGCTGATTCTCAATTGTATTGCACCAGGAGTCTCACAATGGGTTCCACAGCTCTGCATATAGAATAGCATTTTCCCAAATTAAACTCAGGAAGGCCTTGATCACCGACTGATGAATTGAATCATGTGTTTTATTACTAAGGTAGAATGTTAAACTCTTCAGAGCTGTGGCCCAGAAGGAATCCAGTTTGAGCCCCTGCTGTATCCTATTCTATCCTATCCTAATTTAAAAAATCACCTTTATTTCACAGACATTTGTGGTTATTTTAATAGTTATTACTGTTGTTATGGTAAAATGCTGTATGTCAGAATATCTAGTTGAACTAGTGCAGTATTTCTAATATATTAAATGACTAATTTTTACAGACCTTTTATCATCCTTGAGAAAACATACTTTTACTGTTGAGTAACAGGTTTGGTCTGGACTCTTTTTACTGTGTTGAGGTTTTATAGCATATAGCTTGTAGCATGGCTAACTGAAGGAAAGCTGTTGCAACAATCCTGATCTTCATGCTCCAGCTCTGGAGGAGAAATAAGTGCCATGCTAATCTGTCCTGATTTCACCAGAGATTAAGAACAAGTTGATTAATTTTCTCATAGTGATTCTTTAATAATGAATCATCTATGAAGGTCAGGACATGTTTTAGCATTAGAGAAAAACATTATACAACACATCCACACATCAACATTTACTCGATCAAAGTCGACAACCAACTGTCATGTCTGTTGCTTAGCAACCGACCATACACACAAAAACACAGCTGAAACGTAAACACGTCATCAGAATTATGTTAAAATGTGAGTCACAACTGCCATTGCTGATGTAAAAGAGGTCAAACTGTAAGTAGTGGATACAGTAAGAGCGCCTCCTGCTGTTTATCAGAGCGCGCTAACGTTACTCCTCCTAATAAACAGACACACGTTCAGCTCCGTCTCCTCATTATTCACCACCATCACTGTAATATTTCCTCATCAACATTAACACACGAAGGTGATCAGAGGGGCGGTGGAGATCGAGTCTGCAGCGTCTGAGATCTTTAAAACGCAGAGTTAGAAAAGAAAATCATCTCACAGTGAAAGCAGCGTTTTACAGTAGGAATAAATGGAGCTCATTATGCTGGTAGTGAACTATGCTGCTGACTCAGCTGCCTAAAAACCATAGAAACAGACCTTAAACAGAAGTGAGGACCCTGTTGGGGTTCATCCTAAAGTTAGGACAGGATTTAGGAGGTTCAGTCTAGTTAGGATGTTTGTGTGATGCTGTTTTCTGATCTGGAGTTCATGATGAGATTATGAAGGTAGGAACTGTTATTCTGGAATAGCTACTGTCATAAACTCAGTCATGGAGACTAAACAGATCAGATTTCAGAGTTAAGGTGTTTCTGTAATACGGCTCCTGGATTGTGTAATAACTGATCAGTAACTGAACTGCCGACCAGTGATTTACAGAGTCCAGAACCAGAGAATTTACACTGAATAAACCTGATAATGATGTAATGATGATGACGGGAAATTAATGGAAATTCTGAAAATTATGTTTTCTGTTGGGACTTTTTTTTCTTTAGAGCACCCTCAGTCTCTCTCTCCCTTGTGTATCTTCATTCTGTCTCTCTCTTTTTCGCTTTTATTTCTCTTTCTCTGTTGATGTGTTTCTCATTCTCTGTTTCTTTCCTATGCCTATCTCTCTCTCTCTCTCTCTCTCTCTCTCTCTCTCTCTCTCTCTCACTCTGGGTTTTGTCAGCTGTTCTGTCACTCTGGTGATTCACACATTTGAACAGTTTATTTTCCCACGTTCTCACCCAAGTCTATTACTTTCTCACAGACAGAGAGAGAGAGAGAGAGAGAGAGACAGAGAGAGAGCTCCAAATGTTCAATCCTAGATTAGTGAGAAGAAAAGTTTGTTATTGTATTTTTCATGAAGAACATGTTCTCTTATCTGTGTGTTCTGCAGAGTGAAGCAGAGAGAGCAGCTGCTGTGTTCCTGTAAACAACGTCCTCTAATTAGATTTTATTTTACATAAAATGTGGGAATGATTTTTACAGTGTTGTTCTAAGACATGTTTAGTGTCAGTGATGATAAAGAAAATTGCTTGCTGGTTTTTTTTTTATCAGAATCTGTTTAGAATTGATTATAATTTTTCAGGATTTGAGAATCCGACAAGAATTCTATTAGAATTTCGTCTGCATTAGAATTAATCAAACCAAATTGGTTAGCATTTGATCATAATCTGATTAGAATTTGATTTGATTTGCTCAGCATTTCATTAGGATTTGATTAGAATCTGGCTATAGTTGGGCTTGAATTTGATGGTTTGATGAGAAGCTGCTTAGAAATTGTTTAGAATGCGGTTCTGATTGGCTCAGGATTTGACCAGAATCTGAATCAAATTCTGGTTGAATTTGGTAAGAGACTGGTCAAGATTTGATTGAGATCTGGTTAAAATTCATGAACTTAATATTATTTCATAGTTTCACTTTATTAACAACATGATATACTTGATCAGTGCAGTGAAAGCTGAGCTGGACACCGTCTCACAGTGACAGTGACCAGGTCTGACTCCAGGTCTTCAAAATTAAAATTTACTCAGGTAAGTTTTATCACTGATCACTGGGGTCAACGTCATACACAGACAACATACACAGCTATTCAAAAGTCCAAGCACCTCACAGACTCGAGACCTGACTCAGACTCACACCGTAGTGATTCATCTTAGACTCACACCTCAGACTCACCTTAAACTCTCACCTCAGAGACATATCTCAGACTCTCACCTCAGAGACTCACCTCAGACTCACATACCTCAGAGACTCACAACTCAGAGACTCACCTACCTCAGAGACTCACAACTCAGAGACTCACCTACCTCAGAGACTCACCTTAGACTCTCACCTCAGAGATTCACTTTAGACTCACA